ATATGCTAACTCTTTCATAATCACATGTCAACGTCTGCCTTGTGGTCCTTATACGGGGCTAGAATCGCCCAGGACATAAAAGAGACTAGATTTGGTCTCATGCCAAGATAGCCTGCATGCTTGCATGCTAGCCCCATGTTCACCCCCAAGAGAATCTATCCATCCACATCCGACCTTTGAAGCAGCTTCCCTTCCAGCATCTTACCCACATGTGTCCTAGAAATGCCCTGGCCATTCCGCCGAATTTTGGACGTGAGGATTTGGAGAAATTGAACCGGGCTCTTCTCAAACTTGGACTTGCCGTTACCATTGCAGAAAATATACCCATCCGCTGCGACAACTTCGCCTATGCTTGGCACGTCGGTCGCGAGGCCCAGAAACCGACAGGTCTCCAGATAGTCCTCGAATTCGGAGAAGTAGAGCTGCCCAGCGAAGAGATTCAATTCAATCAAAAGGGGACGTGGGATCGCCAGGTCGGCTGGCCGGGCTGGAATAGTAAAGAAATCGAGGCGGTCGAAGGAGCAGTGGCCGGTGTGACAGCGTGGCTTGTAGAGATGCAACGACGCCTTTCCCAATTGGAGGTTTGGGAGTAGTTCTTCGGCTTCGTATGGGCTAATCACCATTATCACGTCGACGGCGCGGCTACCTTTGGCTTGGCTCGAGAGAATCTATTGCACAGGACGCTGGAAGGCATCGGATATGGAAGTTCTCCCTGAGGCCTCTACCGTTGTAGCGAAATCGGCTGTTACGAAAAGTCGCCCGTTTCTGTCAAGTTGCGACGCGTCGAAGTTGTCGGCCGCGCTCGTATTGCGTAGTGTGTCAAACGCCCGCATGTAGGCTGATGAACCCGGCATCAGACGGCCCGTAGCGACGAACTTGACGATATCCGGATGGAGAGAATGATCAGCTGGGCGTGCGGGAGCTGGTCGCTGCACCTGGCGCTCCTGCTCAGTCTCTGGAGATAGTTCGCGCTCCTGCTCTTCCTCTAGTGTGCTCGGATTCAAGTGCAAGTGCCCAAACTCATCACAGCGCTTCCTAATCTCGCCCGACTTCCAGCTCCCTGAACGCAGCGGGCCGGCTCTTGACGTGCCTTCTGCTAAGCAGGGATCATATCTGGCAGCCAGAGATTGAGCCTCATCCTCAAGGAAACGCTCGGCATGCATCTGTGACATAGTTGTGACTCCATCCACGCGTGCCGACTCCCAGAGTTTTCTTGGCGTAAAAATCGATCCCCTTACGCGGCCCATAGTGGTATGCTTCTCACGACCTCTGCAAATGTCTCCGAAATGGCCCAGTGTAATATGTCTTTCACTTCGATGACTTTGTCTGCCGATTTGGCGGTGCATTCCTGGATCTTGGCACGAATTTCTGCGTTCACGCAGAAGACGACTGACTGTCCTTTGCCGAGCTTTCGCAGCCTTATGCAAGCTGATAGAACAGAATTAGCGCTTAGAGCGGTGAGAAATCGATCCCTCAGTTTTATACGTACCCTGTACTAATTTTTCTTTTGTGACATTCGCACCGAGAATGACAGCGGCTCTATAATCGCATGGCAGCCGAAGATCAATACCCCGCGTGTGGGCTTCATCCAAGAACACGAGACAGGAGTCCAGCTGGGCCGTGTAGGACGATGTCTGCAAAAGCTCTACGCGTCCTTGGCGGTCAACGACGGATAATTCATTGTCATGATTTACAAAGACCGCCGCTTCTGTCGTATCGTCTGCGAGCATCCGCAACCCGCTTTATGCTACTTCCTGGTTATTAAGCTCCAATATTTGAGCACCAACGTCCAGAATAACGCGTGTCGGCCTCTCCATTCTGACTACCGTCTCTAGCAGGTGATCGGTATCTGTGACGGAAGCATACGGTCTGCTAGGTAGCAACATCACCAAGTTCTCTCGGCTGTAGAATATACTTAAAGACGAGTGCATTAGTATGGCTCTGTGACGGAAGATCGAGCTGTTTAATATTTAGCGGGAGAAGCTTGCGAGAGTTGTTTGTGCCGCTAAACCCGGTGATATAATGGGCTTTCCTTTTCCGATGTCCCATCCCGAGGCAAATAGCTTAAGCGGAAACTCTTTTGCTTTTTTTAGAAAAACTACGTTGCCGAGGAAATAATTTATAACGCTTTTACCGAATTTAAAGTGAGGAAAAATATTTTTAATATATTAAAGGCGCTTTTTTAAATTAATACCTTTTAGCTAATAAAAAAAGGTTAATATATAAAAAACGTTTTTTATTTAAATATTATATTTAATATTAATTTAATTCGAATTTAAAAAATATTTAAACGCGATAAATAAATCGTCGTTTTTTATATTATTATAATAATATATTAAATATATTAATTAAATCGCTACGTTAAAATAATTAAACTTCGATTATAACGTGAAATTAATTTTTATTTAATAAAATATTATTAATTTTAACGATAATATATAAACGTTAATAAATTTATAATTTACTCGTTAACGTTTTTAATTAAATATAAATATAAAAACCTCACCGGCTAAAATATCGCGAAAAAAAAATATATAATCCGATAATTAAAGCTATTTAAAAACGATTTTTTCTTTTTTTTATCGTTATATTTATTTTAATCGTTTTTAATAAAAAACTTATATATTTATAAAACTTATTTAAATATTATATTAATAAATTATCGGCTTTAATTAATATATTTTTATATAAAATACGATTATATATAAATAAAAAAGCCTTAAACTTTTTAATAAAAGTTTTTAATTATATAATTTTTATATATAAAATATATAAATAAATAAATATTTTTATATATAAAATATAATTATATATAAATTAAATGATTTAAAATTCGATAATATTTAATTTATATATAATCGCGTTTTTTATATAAATTTATATATTTATTTTATAAAGGCTTTAATTTAAAACTTTTATTATCGAATTAAAAATTATTTAATTTATATATAATTATATTTTATATAGAAATAAATTCGCCCCCTTTTTTTTTCTTTTTTTTTAAAAAAAATTAACGTTTTTAAATTAAAATCTTTATTATCGAATTTTAAATCATTTAATTTATATACGATTATATTTTTTATATAAATTTATTTATTTTTAATATTTATATATATAATTAATATATATTTTTATTTATTAAATATTTATAAAAAAACAGGGTAAAAAAGCTAATAAAATGTTTAAATTAATTAAAATGCTTTATTTTTTTATTTTAATCTAAGATTATAGCTTTATTAAGGGGTGCATTTATTAAAAAGAAAGTTGAAAAATCGTTTTTAGATAGCCTTAGCTATCGGATTCCGTAAAGCAAAGACTTTGTGCTCCCTGTCCAAACCGCTCCTTTGCCGGGTCTTTCCACGGCACTGATTTCTTCCTGGCTAAGACTGTGTTGCGTGAGGTACTTGAAGACAGCCTCTCGGACTTGTTCCTGCTGTCTCGCTATCGGCAAGCCATCAAGTCCATTGTCGCAGATATGTCTCGCTACCCTGTACATCAGCAGCTTGCCAGCGTCCGACTTCAGAATGCGTACACGGGGAAAGCCGCCGTCGTTTCGAGGGCTGACGTCTATAGACTGCGGGAGCTGACGTGCGACGTCGGGAGTCCAAGAGCGCACCAGGTCCAGTACCTGCTGTGTGCATATCCAGCGGGCTGGGCTTAGTTCGATTGGTCGCTGAGACCCCATGGTGTAGACGAGCTCGAATTTGACACTAAAGTTCTCGTCGCTCTTGTTAACGATGTTACGAGACTCGCTATCGAGAAAGTTATGGGTGCGTAAAAGTGATCGGCCGATAGCTTACTTGACAGCACTTTTGCTATAATAGCATTCGAGTCCTATTAGCTGGAAAGATAGGAGATGCTTTAGCTGTACCAGAAGAACACTACTAGCATCTATATATTCCCTTATAGTCTTTTCGATAGACTCGACTATAGCCGTTGAGCTGATCCGGAGAGAGCGCGAGAACGGCATATGATAGATTCTTCTGTCTAGAAGGCCGCCTAATTTGGAAGTGAGCATCTGCACTATCTGCTTCGACTGCGGCTTCGCAACGATCACGCGGGCAAGCTGGGATCCGTTGGCTAGTTCTGCGGCGACTATTAGCATAATTACGGAACTCTTGCCCTCGCCCATGTTGAGCTGCATAATACCGTTGCCTCGTGAGCGCGGCTTGATTATCTCGGTTCCTACGCGCTCCTGCACGTCACGGATAACGATGCTGCTCTCGACTTTAAGTAACAACCACTCCGGGTGCTCAAGCGGATCCTACGTCTAATGCCCGACATTTCCCAGCTCCTTGATCAAGCCCTCGTCGCTTGCTACGCTAGCTGCCTCTACGAGCCTCCGTGCCCGCTAAAGACTCGATAGCGCAAGGCTGTAGCGAGTGATGCATTCTCTCCAAGCAGGACTGAGGAACTGCCATGCCCTCTTGCTCAGTTGCTGCAGGACTAGTGCGGGCGAAAGTCGCGGTCCGTAACCCATCTCTATCATGCCATTGTACGCCGCATCTATGATAGAGACGAGGCGGCAATACAAGCGATGCACACTCCACTCGCAATTATTGCGGTGCTGGGACAAGCGTTCGATCGAGTATCTATTACGCAAATCCGGATAGTGAGCGCTTCCTTGCCTTTGCAGAGAAGACATGCTCCTTCTTGTTCAGACTGTGTCGCTAAACACGGAAAAAAGGGGTGGGCGCGAATTTAGGGGTTGCTTAAGCAGGTTTTAATTCGCTTCCTAAATCATCTAATCGTCTTTTTAGCAATATAAAGGCTAGAAGGGAAAAAAAGACGCGATTATAATTATATATTCTAAATCGAACTGCTATTTAAAAACGTTCCTAGTAGTATTAGATTATATTTTTAATTAATAAAAATATAAGAAGGGGGGGTAATATGTTTATAAGTATTTATTTGGCAGTTCGCACCAATATTATCTCACGTAAAAGAAGATCTACCAACAAAACTAAAACCGAATAGAGAATAGAGGAGCTAAGAACATTTGCATCAGGGGGGAATCGAACCCCCGGCTCGTCGAGTCAATTGACTTGTTCGTTCGATGGCAACGACGAATTTTACCACTAAACCACTGATGCTACTGATTGATGAGCGACAAGTTCCTGGATTACCGCTTACATATCGGAGGAAAGAGCAAGCATGGACCAAAATTTTCACGATGAGGGCCACGAAGGCTAGGCTAAGCTTCAAGATAATGTAGGTGGATTGACTTGGCAGTACATGAGGCTCTGTCATATGTTGGAGATATGCGCACACTACGAAGTACGCGCGACTGTATCCATCGTGCGGTCCACCTACATTATTTCCAGCGCGGAGCTTATCCGCCGTGTGTCAACGACATGTCGGAGGAAGCCCGAACATAATCCACTTCGCGAATAAAGGTCCACCTGCCAGCCTGCGTTCGGGATCGTGCGAAATTTGGCTGTCGTAATCGGAGTTCTTAGTGCCTGTGTGGTCCAACTAATAAGTAACTAGATGGGAGACATTCTCCATCTCCGCCGGTTTTCGGACACATTTGTCAAGATTCCAGCTCTGCGGAATTGAATTGCATTGAAGTCGTGATTATTTGGTAGAATGGTTACTCCGTAGATTAGAACGAAGCTCGAGTTTGTTTTCATCTCTGTACTGTCGTCTCCGTACTGGGTGCTGGAAGACGGAGGCATATCGAAGTTCCAATGTCAACTTCTTATCGTCGGAACAGGATTGTCATATCATAACAACGGTCATCTTACCTAGGCAATCTCGGGTAGTCCAATTCTGTGTCTTGAACGTAAAACGGCTGCTGTGCAGATATCTCATCCTGTCGGAAGCTCTCACTCTCCTTTCGCCTTGGCCGCCTTATCAGGTCTGTTCTTCGGGGATTTATGCACGTGTCTTCGCATGATAGAATCGAATCGTCGATGACACCCTACCCACTAGATCGTGATATTTCGAATTCGCGGCTGGTCAATCATATCACCATGTGTCTACCAAGAGAATCTACTTATCACTTCCCTGCCGTGGTTGTTGGAAGCGGTCAAAGCGGGCTACGGCCCCCCGCACCGTTGCAGTCGATACGCTCCTCCGTTCGGGACGTGGGAGGGTGGGAATGCGGGAGTGCGCTTTGGCGTTCTTCACCGGTGAGAGGCTTTACTCTAATGGTGAGAAGGCTAGTCTGATATTTACCTAGGTTAGAGAGATTCACGACCGGGATGTGATAACGGGTGGAGTGCATACATACGATAACGACGCGCGAGCTGGAGTCGGCAGTAGCCCCCCTGTTTCCCTGACCGGCTTGAAGTTGCAACTAACTAGGGCTCTGTCACTTGGCTGCGAGGCATACCTAGGTACATCGTAAGCTTTACCTCCATAAGGGGAAGTAATCATCATTATGCGGGTGGACAAGACAGGACAGCCGCAAATTCGCGGCATATGCTTTGGGAATTTCTGAAAACACCGGTGCTAGCCAGACAGCACATGGTCCAAGTCTCATCACCCAGTTAGTACGGTCTTGATCAGATATCACCTGCATTATCATTGATACGATCTGGCGCTGTGATCTGATCTGAGTCGGTCCATGAACCAGTGTGGGGGGGGTTCGTGAACTATACCCCAACCCCAGCCCAGTTTCAAGCGCGTCAAGGGTTTTGATAGAAATCATGGAGCTACGAGCTTCGCCGGAGACGCTAAGATGAGTTGCGTGCGCAGACTACTTCGTGTAGATGCGTAATAAGTATGTGCGCAGAGACCTCTGCTCCACCCGGTATGCTGGGATTCAGTGACAAAAGTCAAGTTGGCAGTCTGGCTAGCAGGGCTACTCCGTAGTCTTCGGCGTGCTCAGGACGCCTCGACACTCAGCTGTCATCCCGGAAGGGAAGTCTCCTCGGCGGTCCCTTTCCTCTGTGCTGACATCTGCAGCGGCGCCATGTTCTCCAAGCGGAATAGCCATGACCCCTTGACAGCCTTGGCACAGCTCGGTGTGGAAGGGTGAGAACAGACGTCTACAACGTCCAAACTCATGACCCTTCTGAGTCTCCCGCTTCTCTGGAGCGGTGACTTGATATATGTCTGGACAGTCGCGATGGCCTTCACCAGGAATTTCCTGACAGCGAAGTCGCAGTTGCAGTACTCCCTCGAGCCACATACGACGATTGAGCCATATCGATAGTCACTCTTGAGATCTCCCAGTACCCTCCTAGTCGACATGTCGTCTCCGTCAACAGGCCCGATGGCAAGAGTATCGCTCGAGCACACGCAGCTCAACATAATGCTCGTTATTTCCACGATCCTTACAGCTATATCCAGTACGTTGACAGTTCTAATGATAGATGGAGCTTCGCCCTGTACTGACTTTTGGACAATTAGCCTTGTTGATACTCGTGCGGTGTACGATACGCTTCTACCTTCTGGCATCCCCCGGGTACGACGATTACATGAGTATAGTTGCCGTGGTACGGATGTTTCGCCTACATATATAGTGGTCTGTTCCGAGCTCATAACTTCTATAGGTCTGCATCATAGCATACCTCGCAGTGATATACATCGGTTTCGAGAACGGCATGGGTTTTCCCATGACTACCTTGACCCCAGACGAGATGGTCCTAGATCTGAAGCTCGTGCTTATTGTCGAAGTCATCTATTACACGATCATCTTCGCCATCAAAACATCCATCACATTTATGTATGACCGCTTTGGTAAGCCCTCTGCCAGAAACCGCCGCGTGGCGCGCACCCTGACTGACCTCTCCAGCCATATCGGACAAGTTCAAAAAATACTGCATCGGCACCAACGTCTTTCTGGCCCTGTTCTTCGTCGTTTGTATCGGGTGTGCTATCGGGCAGTGTACGCCCATAACGAAGGCATGGGACATTACCGGGCTTGCACCTGGGAGCTGCATCAACTTGACCGCTTTTTTCTACTGTGAGTGGCAGTAAATACCAGTAGGGTGTATCACAGATAGTTACTGACGGTAGATTCTTCACAGTCACGTCCGGTTTCAGTATACTGACAGACATTTGGATCCTCGTCCTGCCGATCTCGACGTTAAGGAAACTGCAAATTCCCCATCGTGATAGGATTATCCTGTTTGGTGTCTTCGGTGTCGGTGCTTTCGCGACGGCAATGTCTTGTGCCCGCCTCTATTCGATATACACCTACACCCTGGCAGCGGATCCTTTCAAGGACTCGGTGCTAGTCAACATCTGGTCCATGGTAGAGATCAACGCGGCAGTCGCCTGTGCTTGTGCTCCCGCCATCAAGCCGCTCTTCTCGCCTCGGCGTCTCCTTAACGCCCGCCAACGAGGGAATTACGAGCAGCACAGTCCCCCTCCCCCGACGCCCCGGTCACCTGGTTTCAAGTCCACTTCGCAGTCGCACATCATCTCGGAACGCTATGTGAGTGGGCCCGACTCGCCGAAAGCCTCGTCGCCGGCCACAGACGAGTTTGAGCTTGGAAGGACGAGTTTATGAAGTCAACCAGAACTGTGTCTTTGGGTGGTACACAAACTCATACCTCAACGCTGCGTGCAGCATTGAGATAGCACTGTTCAGCAGAAAGCTGACATTGAAATGTCTCAAAAGAAGGGGGTTTGGAAAGGAGACTTAAGTTCTCGTCGCACGCTCGGCCCATATCTGTCATTGAAGGAAAGATATTATGATCAACCATATGAAAGCGAAGCAATCATGTATTTTCTCTGTCGCTATACCTCGGGGTCATTGGACTACTAATGATCTGGTATACATGCTCCTTGAAACGTCCTGTCATTTGCATCTTATTTTTGCACATTAATATTCTCACCACTGCCAACAGCCCGCCACCCATTGCGGCCATCTTTAGTCGTGATAACGCCCACGAGCCTCTGTGCCATTCATTTTGGGATGAGGGCATAGAACAGGCGTGGACGAGACACGGAATAATCATAGATGAGGGATATGGAATAGCCATGGAGTCATGGCAATGAAAAAGGGGGAGGAGGGGGGATAAGGCCAAGTGCTGCCAGCTGTCAGAACTCAAGTTGAAAAATAGCATAGCGGCACAGGTTGATCGTTACGCAAACCGCATACGTTTGAGGGGGGGATTCCGAAATGGCTTGGACTCTACACAGTATCTCAGCGTCCCGATAGCTTGTCTGTTTTCCGATGCAGGAACCCATTCGATGTTTGGGCTCGTGGATAATGCTCACATGACATCGTCTCCCACGCTACGACATTAGATCGGGTAACCTGTTCCCCTCACCCCCTTTCCCCGCGTTCAGGTTTGAGTCGATGATCTTCGTTATGCAGACCTATCAGAACCCATTCCTTTGATTCGCCATGGTGCGATGTGCAGTCGAATGCCAGGATTCCGTCAAACGTCTCCGGTCGCTGATGTCCCGAAGCTTCGTCTCCTCGTCGTGACCCTTTTCTTTCAACCACCATTGTGATATCCAATCCGCCAACCTCTGGGCCTGTATGCCTCTCAATGTTTACATAGACCCGTCCGAACCTAAGATCGCCATCATAGCCATGACTCCAGGATCAACTTGCGAAGCTCACCAAGCGAGCATGGAACAGACTTCGGCTAGGAGCTCGAAGATTTCACCCGGTGCTACGGAGCACCATGAGCATCGAGCGGCGCCACTGAAGGCGGCCGAGAGCCTCAGCCGAGATGTTGACGTCGCCATGGCCTTGTTCGATACCCCCGAACAAGTCAACCAGCCCCGGGATCCAGAAGAAGAACGCAAGCTCGTGCGGAAGATAGATCTCATGATCCTCCCGTACCTGGCCGTGTGCTATGCCTTCTTCTACATTGACAAGACGACGCTGTCGTACGCTGGTGAGTTGAGCGATGGAGTCCATATAACTCATCTCGTATATAAATCTGACCTCATGTATGATCAGCTATCTTTGGGATACAGGACGACCTAGGTCTGCACGGAAGCGAATATAACTGGCTCAGCTCGATGTTTTATTTCGGGTTTCTGTTCTGGGCCTTTCCAACCAACTTCATGATGCAGAAATTTCCCATAGGTACTTGGTGCATCGAAGATCATACCTGGGTTCCGGTCTAACTGCTGCAGGCAAATACCTGGGTGTCAATATATTCCTATGGGGTGAGTT